AATATGAATTTCTTCTCTCAAGTTTGGGTCGGTTTTCAGTTGTCGCCCCACGGGCTTTTCTCGGCTTCCTGGAGAGTGATGAAGGGGTGTGAGTGTTCGGATCCCCGTTGTGTTAGCCCCGAGATATAGTCACGGCCTTGGGCGTCACGTTGCTATCGTGATATTCTACTCTGTCCCTGTTGACCCACTTGCTTCTGGAGCTCTATTTCCTCCGGTGGTAGGTCTGAGGAGGACCATCGTTCTTTTCTCCGACCAGTGGTGATGGCAGAGATGGGGGTCGTAGTGGGTGGAGGATTACGGCGGATTCGGTCGGGTGGTTGATGCCTCGGTTGTTCAGCAGCGATGTTGTCGGACGGCTGGAGCTCCGCTGCGCTTCCAGCCCTTTTCCCCTTCCCTTCGGTGTTGGTTATGGGGTGGACCATTGTCCTGACCTCCGGCCAGTGGTGATGGCAGAGGTGGGGCAGTGGGGGATGGTGGATTGTGATAGATTCGGGCGGTCGGGGACGTGGCTGCAGCCTTAGCATCTTCGTTTTTTAGGGGTTTACCGGGTGTGGTTGGACTCGCTAGTGGTGTTAGTGGGCTCGGTCTCGTGGTGGTCCTGCGGTATCTTGGGCGTTGAGGTCGTGGTTCGAGTTTGATTTCGGATGTTGTTCTGGGGTTTGTGCTGACTTCGTTAGACCACCGAGTTGGTGTTGGGCAGTTTCGGGTCGGTCCTTTTGGCTGTGGGACTCTCTCTGGGTCATCTGGGTATCCACTGGCTCTGCTTTGTTTCGCTGCTTAGGAAGGGCTTGTTTCTTTTTTTATTAGTGTCTTTTGTTTTCTGTAGGTTTTTGTTTGTTAGTTTTGTCTGTTTTATTTTGTTTAGGGCATGTATTTTTGGTTTGAGCTGTTGGCCCCTGTGAGCCTGAGTGTCGCCTTATTATCCCACTGGGATCTGATACTCGGGTATTATCATGTTGGAATCTTTTTTTAGTCTTTTGATTGTGTGGTTTTGTGTGTTTTCATTCTAGCTTTGCTAGCGGATTTCTTGGCGGTCTCCTGACATGTCCTCTCACGTTTTCAGCCGTTGGCTGCTGTGTATTTGTGTATTCACACATTTGTGCGTTTTGATTTATAATACCATATATCGTTCTGAAAAAAAAAAAGAAGATGATATATATGAACTACATATATATATATATATATACACATATACATACATACAGGGATGACATCCAGTGAAAAAAATGCTTAGCGAAAGAAATAAGAATACATCTTAGACATAAAATCTGATCATCCAATGACAAAAAAAGTCATCTTTTAACATTCATTTAGGGTATTTTTGACATTACACAATCCCCAACCACTTACCCACTAGTGGGCCATACCCACCCACCCACTTTATGCTCTCTCTCTCACAACACACACAGAGAACACACACAAGCATGATTATGCCGTCTTTCTTGTCCGACCAACTTCTGCTACTGCATACCGCTGCACGTCGTCGCACGCTGCCAACATGGGCCTTTCCCCAGCGAACGACATCTTCCTCCACGGCCACCTCCCCTCCAACCTCCATGTCTTCCCCTGGTCGTCCACCAACTCCACCGTCGGCCTCACCCTCCCCTCCACCGCGGTCGTCTACCAAATAGACCAAAAAAACTGTCGTGTCTCCCCGTCCCCTGCCCCAGCATGTTATATCTCTGGTGTAGCACAGAATAGCTCGACATCCCGGTTTGAGTAGTTAGCTCGGCTAAACTTTCCTAGGAAGGGCTTAGGCCTGTCTAGAAGTAAAAAATCCGGTAAAGGAGCTCACATTCGATCTCAATGTATCAATCAACCTGGAGTAGATGACCTGGAGGTACTGACCTTCTGAAGCTCGACAATAAAATCGACCTCAAGGTATTGAGGTTGAAAGACCTGAGGTCGGGATAAATATCAAGAGGAGGTCAAGTTTGACCTCGGCTAAGTAAAAACAAGTAGGTCAAAATGTCGTAGTTACGACCTAAGGACCTAATGGTTGTATAGTAAGAGGGGCAAGAATCCTAGTAAGAAGGAAAGTATCACTTGTTCGATGAGACTTTTCTAGATAGAGACGTGGTAAGTTAGAAAATGTATTTGATTGGATCTATTTCCTAACATGGACTTTCTTGGGCATCAAGACAATTGTCCTATATAAGGTTCCAAGTTCTTCTTCATTGAGATATCACATTCTACGCCTTAAGTTACATATTCTCGTACATATTTGTTGAGCAAGTTTTGACTTGAGCGTAGGAGGTTTTTCGTTGGGACACCCTCTTGGCATATTGTAGGACAACGAAAATCAAAGAAGAAAGAGGTTCACGATGTAAGTGATTCAATCCAGTTTGTGATGAAAAGTGACACAACAAATTGGCAGCGTCTATGGCAAGGGGGGTCAGTATTTTACTGGCTATAAGGACTTAATTGTACTCTCACAATCATACTGTTAAGAGAAAAAATTTAAAGAAAACCAAGAAATCATGGAAGTAAAAGCATCAACAGAAGTACCAAAGGGCAAGGAGATTCAAGTAATAATTAAAGATTCCCCGGAACAAGGCAATTGTAGAAAGTCATGGAAAAAGGTCGTGGGGATCCAGAACGAGCCCGAAGCCACTATAAGCTTCGGGCCACAGGAGGTTGAGGGTGTTTCGGCACCACAAAGATGCTTTTGTCATTACAACATATATCGAAAGTTATGTGGTACGAAGGGTCATGATGAACACAAGAAGCCCAGTCGACATCATCTCCCTACATTGTTTGGAGTATGTGGCCTAAAGACAGAGATTTAGTTGATCAATACAACTCTCTACGAATTTAATGGAGGTAATGTCAAGCTAATTGTAACACCCCGAACCTTTTATTATATATAGTTCGACTTTAGTTTCATAAATAGTAAGTTTTATTATTCCATGTTCTATTTATTTTTCTAACATTAAAATTTGATGAATGAATTTTAAGTCTAAGCAATGGAGGATCCGTTCTATTTTTAGTTCTGAAATCGAATTAATTTTATCCCAAGTATCAGTTCATTTTTCAGTAGAAAATGTTAACTTGGCCACTACGTTTTTTCCTAACCGAGCATTAGGAAAACCGATAATTTTATTTAATATGGGCTGAAGCCCAGTTGAGCCGAGGCCCGGTCCCAATCCCTATAGCCGTGCAATTTTTCACGGCACAAGGCCCTTAAATCCGAGCCCAACTCAATGTTGAGTCTTTAATTTCGAGCCCAACATTTTCCAAGCCCAATTTAAAGATCGGGCCATTTTACTAGCCCAAGAGGTGCTAGCAAATCATGCTAAAAAACTCAGAAGCCCAAGGAGCAAAGAAAATCCTGAATGCGGACCACCCTAAGAGCTCGGGTATAGCAGTAATCATGAAAAGCTGGAGATTTCATCGCAAGACGAGCTCATGGAGGTCGAGATCATAGAAAGGAGGTCGGCAAGGTCACCAAAGTAGGTCACCACCTCCTAAAGGATGAGTTGACACTAACTCCAAAACCTCACTCGCATTTACCTACTCTGTGGATGTGAAAACTCGCAACTTATGGGTGTTTCAGAATCACTAGCTTGCAGAATTCTCCATTGTTAAACTTGCAACCTCTGGTTGGCTTGAGTTCAGTTTCTACTTTGCTTAGTCATTTGTTTTGTTGTTTGATAGTGGTTGTGTGTTGGCATTTGTTTTAGAGAGCTGAACTGTGTTGGTGGTAGTTAGTTGTTGTCTTAGTTTTTGTCGGTTAAGCTGGGGTTTTGGTTCTGTGGACATTGTTAGTTTGGTTGGGTGTTTGTTGCTGCTTCTGTTTCTTAGATGGTTTACATGCTAGGCTTCCTGGGTACAGTCGTAGGTACTCCTTTTGTTAGTTACTACCGTGGTAGTTTGGTTGGTTGTTGCTTCTGTTTCTTATATGGTTTACCTGCTAGGCTTCCTGGGTACAGTGGTAGCTACTCTTTTTTCTAGATGCTAGCTTGGTTAATCTTCTAGTGCTGTTGTTTTAGAGGTCATGCTCTTGGTTCGATTGCTTTAGTCACCGCATGATGCAAACACCTCTACTTCAATTCCTTTTGCCTTGGTTATGTTTGGTAACCAAATAAGATAGCTTACATCATATTTGGTTAGCTTATAAGCTTTCTGTATTTAAAAAAGCCCCGTTTGGTTGGACGATCTTTTTTAAAAAGCTCGAGCTTATCTCAGAGCTTCTTTAGGTAGATTTTCAAATAAGCTCGTTGAAATTATGATTTCAGCTAGCTCATCAACTAATTTTATCGAACACTTTTATTATGTAAACTAATTTTTCAACTATAAGCCATAATCTATAAGTTAAAAAATCACTTTATAAGTTATAAGCTAGCGTATTAGATAGTTTTACCAAACACAGAAGTTTAGGGCTCTTGTTTAGCGTTCTTCCTTGTCTACCTTGTGATAGTATAAGCGAGTGCTATCGTTGTTGTACATTCCTTTGAATTCTATTATATGTCGTTTTGAAAAAAAAAAAACAAAAGAATCATAATTTATAATGTTATACAAAAAATAATAATTCACCATATAAGATTTTATATTCAATTATTATTTTGTCACAATCACAAATATAATAATATAATTATTTAGTAAAAAGTAAATGTGAAAAGTAGTTATAGAGAGAGGTGAAAAAGTGTCGTTCACACTTTAGGCTTTCACAATATCTGTCATCAGGCGACAGATAAGCACCAGCAAGCATATTCTTCAACATCAACTACCCCAACAAGTAAATATTTTCTTTACCCTCTCCATCTATCCATCGTTGGTTCGTCGTCCTCAATAAATACACACTACTCTTTACACACTTTTGGTCCCTCCTTTTACTGCCCCTTTTGCTTTTTTCGTTTCCACCGACGAAAAACCTCCAGCTGTTTTTCACTTGTTTATCGACCTCGACCGACGGTGTAGTCGGTGTACGGTGGTGGATCTGAGGGCAGTCGCCGACGTCGCTGCCGGAGAAGAAATAAAAGAATAAAAGAAAAGAATCGATGTCGTCCGGAAGGTACATGGCTTACTCACCATCTCCGTCCGCGCCTCACTCTCCCCACATCGGCGCCGCCGCGGCCGCCGGGGGAGGTATCCGAGCCGCTTCTGCTCTGGTCGAGCAAGAAAAGTAATCCCCTTTTTTTTTTTTTCTCTTTCTCAAGATTCTTTATTTATCATGTGATACTGTGTAGTTTTAAGTAGGAGGAGCTCTAGGTGAATGTTAAAATCGGATCTTGCGGACCTTCTTGTTCGAATTTTGTGTTTTTGGTCAGGTGATTTAATCGCTAAACGTTTTTGCAGTCTTGATTCTGAATTTCATTGATTGTGTAGCCGTTTTGTATGCAGTGATCATGTGGTTAATAGGATTGTTGGTGATACAATTTGTGTAGCAGGACGTGGTTTTCTTTAAGTTGTGTTACTTCTTGATACCAACAGTTGTTCAGTACTCGTTATTATCATATAGTCTGGATGTGTTTACTTGTGTTCGGATTATAATTGGGGCGGTCTGATTTTGTGAATCAAAAATATGTTTCAACCGTGTTCATAGTAGTTGATATAACAATTTAATACAAGACACTTTGAATAACATGAGATCAGGATAGTTTAAAGTTTAATTATAAAAGCAATCAAGCATGCAAATATCAACATTTCTTATAACCTTTGGAGGCACATTGTTATTTCTGAAAGATTCGCCTTTTAGTGTTGAAAATTGTTGTGTCATTACTACTGACAATGTTTTGTTATTGCAACATTGACAGGTATCTGGCGGAGCTGCTGGCAGAACGCATCAAGCTTAATCCCTTTATGGCTGTACTTCCAAATTGCTACAGGTTGATAAATCAGGGTGAGTGTATGATTCAATACCCTTAAAATCTTTTGTTTCAGGATTTTTTTTGCTGCAAATTGACCCCCTTCTTTGTTCCATTCGGGATACATCCTCTTGTTCTATGTGATGATCTTTACCTATGCCATTTTGTTTTTCCAATCACTACCCACTCATTCATACAGGTTGGTGATTTGTATATAGATCCTGAATTGACTGATGATGAAATTTGTTGTTTCATCATTATCAAGAACCAACTGCCCATGAAAATTTCAAAAAATGTCAATTATACCATTTGTTGTTTCATTTGGAGTTAGTCACCTTTGTTTCATTGTAATGTTTATTTCTTGGTATTAAAATTCTGTCGCCGGATAGCCAAACAAGCAGTTTGTGTTAAAGCTAATGCCTCTTTCTGGTTACACCTAGAGCTATTAGTGAGGATCTTGCGATGGATGTGAAAATTCTTAGTACATATAATGTTTCAGATTATATGATTGACAAATACTAACTTTGCTAACCCATTGCGTCCTTCTAATTATTGAATTTGGAATCCTTGTGTTTCATTATTGATCTTTAAGGTAACGTGTTGTGAACTTTGGGTATCAAATGAATTTTCACAGAGGCACCAACGTGCCCGAGATTTCATATTTGACAATGTCCAGTGTGTCTATCATGTTGAAGACATCAATATATTCACAACAAGCGCAAGAAGTTCAATGATTTAGTTGTAAACTATATGTCTAGTTAACTTTTTGTGTTGGTATTTGCTTAGGAGTGAGTTTAGCTAACGAACATTTTTTATTTTTTTTTTTGTCAAAAAGATGCCACTAATTATCGATGAACTTGGAATGCTAGGGCTCATATTCATCTTTAGATGGCAATAAAGGTTTAACTCCAAGGGTAGGGATGGATGCTTGTAATGCTTCTTTATAATGAATCTCTACGGAGATGGCTCCATTGAGTTTTCATTGTAGGATCTTTTGGCATTTCTTCTTTGCATACTCATAGCACTGTGGGGTGGGTTTGACAAGCTGTAGAAGAACATTTCTGCTATTTTTCTTTCTGGTACCGATGTGGGAAATGAACTCCACCATCTCAAGCAATCTATGATTTACAGTAGACTGGGTTGACAGTGCATACGGCATAGTATGCATTGCTTTTATTTTTTAACTGCGCTAGGAATATGGAGGCTAACCGCATTTTTTAGGTCAAAACTTCGGTCGTGATTTAATATACAGTAAATATTTTTCATGTAAGTCTTTTTGTGCTATCTTTTTAACATTAACCTTGAAAATTTACCTTATCCTTTCAGAATTTGACTAACAGTTTAACAGTCTGTGTTGTGTCCATATGACTGCTCGCTAGATCTTAACAATGCTAACTGGTACATCTTATTCTTGGAAATTGACCTTTTGAAACAGAAATATTGCGTGTAACTACACTGTTGGGGAATGCATCAGTTTTAGAACAAAGTGGGCTTGAACATGCGAGCCCCCTGGCTTCAGGAGGAATATATTCAAATGGAGGAGCTAACATGAACAGATGGGCATCACCGTTTCAATCAGAAGTATGGATACTAACCATTAACATAACTTTATGTTTGATCCAATTCTTTACTCTTTTAGAAACTCTTCAGGAATGAAACAAGAAACCTTATATTTTATCCTAACTTTACATTTTGATTGTAATGCTTCTTGGTTCAATTTCTGATTGACAAGTAGTTTGATGCTGACAACTTCAACAATTAAGTAGAGACGCACGGCATGTCAAATAAAGTGTTTTCACCTATACTGGAGATGTTTTCTAACCCTATGCCATAATACCTTTAGCATTGATTAACATATTGATTGTTCTAACCTTAGGCTATTATACTTTTAACATTGATTAGCATGTAGGATAATATTTTATAGTTGTATAACTCTAATCTTAGCTGAAGGACGTTACTCCTTGTGACTATAAACTGTTGACTTTTCATTGGCCAATTGAGTCGATGGTCTGACTCCCACTGTGTTACCTATTCTTCTTTACAAACAATTGTAAATATTTCCATTTCATATCAAAACCTGGTACAATCAATGTGTCAAATTATGAGATTTGGTGTCCCAGGTTGTCTGCTGCTTGCTTTGGCGTGCTTGGTATAAATTGTATTGTCTACTTCCTCTGGCAATTGTGCTTCTGAAACTGTTGAAGATATTTCTTCGAAGTTTGAATTTTCTGCTTATTTGAGACGCTAAATGTTGAAAAACATACAGAACGGGAGGGGAATCTTCATCACCATTCATAATGTTGTTACAATATGTTGGATTATATAATGTGCAGATGTCAGGTCTGATGCGAACCTCCTCTGGGCCAAACTGGCTTGCTTCCCAAGATAGTTCGTCAGGTCTCATAGTCAAGAGAACAATCAGGGTCGACATTCCCGTTGATCAATATCCGAACGTAATAATTTCCCCTCCAAGTGGTGTATTCTTGATGTGGTAATTTTATTTAGCATGTCCCATTTCTCATTCGTATTATATTTTCGTATCTTCCAGTTCAATTTTGTTGGTCGACTCCTTGGTCCAAGAGGAAATTCACTGAAGCGCGTGGAAGCAACTACAGACTGTCGTGTTCTAATCAGAGGACGCGGCAGTATAAAGGATCCAGTTAGGGTAATTTCCTTCTGACCTCAGTGTTGAATTTTCACAATGATTAGCATTCATCTTAAAGAAAACGTTCATCATTTTATCCTCGTCCATCTAAGAAGCAAGAATATTTAACATTGAATATGAAGGCTGTGGTGCATTAGTTTTGAAATGCTGAAAGTTTTCTTATGTGCTTATTTTCCTTCAGAAAAATAAAGCTTATGTTGAGAGATTAACTTGGTTTGTACGTTTGCTTCATTCTTTTTCCTTATGTGCAATGCAACAAGTTGGTATCACTAATGTTTCGAAATACTGGATCTGTAGGAGGAAATGATGAGAGGAAAACCAGGATACGAGCACCTTAACGAGCCCCTTCATATACTTGTTGAGGCCGAGCTACCTGTCGAGATAATCGATGCTCGTCTCATGCAGGCGCGTGAGATACTCGAAGATTTACTTAAGCCAGTGGTAACTTCCACCTACCATCCATATTGCCTTCCCTTAGGAGCATAATTCCTCTTTAACTTCATATTTCTCCAGTTCAACAAGTTGGTATCACTAATGTTTCGAAATACTGTGCATCTTTTAATGCAGGATGAATCGCAAGATTTTTACAAAAAACAGCAGCTGCGTGAACTGGCTATGCTCAACGGCACACTCAGGGATGAAAGCAGCTCCCAAATGTCGGCTGGTTCTGTTTCCCCCTTCCACAACAGCCTTGGGATGAAGAGAGCAAAAACCCAGGGGTAAAACAGTAAATTCTAGAGCTTATGTGTTTTCCCTGCCTGTAAAAAGCAGTTCACATAGTATGTGTATTGCTGTGCTAGCTGATGCCTCTTGCCAGTCAACGGGGCACTTACTGCTCCTAATCCGTCTCTATATGAAAAATGAAGTGTGCTGCTCATAATGTACTTGGGAATGAATTAGTAGAAGTGTACTATAGTAATATATTCGTGAGGGGTTCGGTTCGGTTTCTGTGTGCTGCCTTGGGGCAGCTTGGTTGGGAGGTGTAATGTTCTGTTTGCCATCGACGTATTATTTCATTTATTGTGCATGCTTGTATCTGGGTGGTTTTATGTGAAATTCTGTTTCAAATTTTGTTTGTTTTTTGCTTCTAGGGAAAATATGGTATACATTCGTGTCTCTTCTTTCGTCTGATATTTTTGCTCCTAAGTTAATAGATAGGTGTCCTGGTTGCTTGTACTTTTTAAAAAAAAAAATAGGAATTCATTGATATATGTAGGGGTGTGCAACGGTGCGGTTCGATGAAAAACTGCACGGAACCGCAAAAAACCGAAAACCGATTATAGCAAGAAAAATAACCGAACCGCATTGCAACTTAGAAAAAATCAAACCGAAACCGAATCAAATTTTTTACGCACTAAAATAACCGAACTGCACCAAAATGCATGGTTCGGTTCGGTTTTCGTTTTTTTTTCTTGGTTTTTCTATACATTTTATTTAATTTGGTGCGGTTTAGAGTGCGGTTTTGCTAAACCGCACCGAAACGAACAAAACCGAAAATCGAACTTATAGAAAATAATAACCGCACCGCAACGCAATATAAAAAAAAAAACGAATCGAAACCGAATTAAAATTTTTTTACATAAAAAATCGAATCGAAACGCATCGATCTACTCAGTTTCGGTTCGGTTTTCGGTTTCGGCTCGATTTTGCTCACCCCTAGATATATCAACCAATAGCAGCTGAAATCGGCGGTCAAATGACCAAATGTAATGAAAGGACATCCCAAAAAGAGCTAAAACTACTACAAACTCGGGTAATTTATTTTAAAAAAAAAAAACTTAAAAAATAAGTGGACAAAAAAAAAAAAACGAGTGGACCAAAATAAAAAACACGTATTCACAGAATACGTTTTTTAAAAAAAAATTAAGAAAACGTATTCCTGTAATACGTTTTAAAATCACTTTTGTAAATTAAAAAAAAAAAACAAAATTACCTTAAATTCGAATAGTAAAAAAAAAATATAAACGTATTATACAAATACGTTTCTTACAACCCTAAAATTGATTTTTGGGGTTTCCGAAAGCGTATTTCAAAAATACACGTTCAATTTTATTGTTTTATTCAAAAAAAAAAATATAAACGTATTCCGGTAATATGTTTTTGTAAAAAAAAAATCTCTGGAAAAAAGTCACTAAAAAATATATAAAACGTATTCCGTGAATACGTTTTACAATTAAATAGGTGTAAAACGTATTCACGGAATACGTTTTTCTATTAAATATATAAAAAAATCTTTCTCTTTTCATTCATTTTACGCGAGCAGCAGCAACATCAACAGAGGCACAAACACAGCAGCGAAAAACTACGGGAAAAAAAAACTCGATCCAATCTTCACCCCGACGTGAACTACAACAGCGACACGAGCCTTATTTCTGGTTAATTCATACGCACAAAGTATATTGGCTTATCTTAACTTTTTATATTTGTTTGGAGTTATTTGGAGATTGAGAATTGTTATAATATGTTTGAATGTGGTGGTGTTTGAAGATTGAAATTACTAATTGATTATCGATTATGTGTGTATGTTGAATTGAAAATTGAAATTTTGTGTGTAAATTGTCAATTGCGTATTGTTTGGTTGTTATTGTTGGGGTTAGGGTTTTTCGAAATTAGGGTTTCAATTTATTCGTATTATAGATGAATTTTATGTTATTGTTCGATAAGGGTATAAGGGTTTTGAAGGATTATTTGATTGGGAATATTTATTTTTTGGTTTTTTTGGTTGAAAGTGTATTATATGTTATTGATGGATTATGAGTATTAGGGCTTGATAAAAGAATTCGTGATTTTATTTTTAACAGGTATAAATGACGTCTACCGGACCATACTTTGTTAATGTGTATTGGAATCATCCCAAAGAGGATTTAAGTTCATTTTCAGATTTTATAAATCGTCCGGATGGTTCATTTAGCATTGGGGAGAATACATCATTTCAACAATTTGTAGATATACTTTATGAAAATTTTGGGTTCCGTCGAGATGGTTAGATAATTGAGGGGATTAGTTTACTGACTGATCGACCAGATGGTTCGTGGAATATTGGAAACTTGAATACTGATAGTGCTTTGCAGTGGATATATTATTTTCCTGCTTTCTCCTACGTGTATTTGCATTTACAGTTGAAGCAGGTTACGCAGACACCTACAGTGATTACATAGTTTGAAGATGTTCCCCCATTTTACGGGGGAGTGCCTGATTTTGAGGGGTACGTCCACTTCGCATGTTCGTAATTTTGGCGAAGGGACAAGCTCAACAGTTAGAGAAGAAAGTGATGATGATTTCATTCCTGGAGAAGAAGATTTCACAGATGATACCTCAAAATTGGAATCGGATAGATCAATAAACGAGGAGAGTGAACCAGCATTTATTGAAGAGCACCCATTTCCTAGTAGCGGTCAGCACGTGTATCGCGAGATGGGTGAGTGGGACCCATCGTGTGTAGACCGGGATGAGCATGCTCTGTTACGTTGGAATGGAAATGTCAAGACTATCCGTTTGGGTACTGTTTTCCAGTCCAAGGAAGAAGCACAATTGGGTATCATGAATTGGAACGTTAGTAGATTGAGGGAGGTTAAGACAACATATTCGAATAAGAAATCATTCAAGGTGGTGTGCAAATCTGATGAAGATCAACCTTGTCCGTGGAAGGCTCGGGTGATGCACTGCACACGGGTTCATGAACTGTGGGAAGTAACGGAATGGACCGAGAGGCATAGTTGTATGCAAGAAGTCGACAAAAATGACCACAGAAATGTAATCGCCACAATGATTTCAAATCTTGTCATGACCAAGATTCAAAAGAAACCCGACTACAGTGTTACCCTGATCCAGGAGGATGTTAAAAAATGTTGGAAAGTCGATGTGAGCTATAAGAAGGCGTGGCACGGGAGGAAAAAAGCCATCGACCGATTGTATGGCACTTGGGAAGAGAACATCGCACAACTCCGCCAGTAAGAAGAAATTTATTAAAAATGTACGTGTTATTTGTCTCACTATGTTTAGGTATTGACGATTACGTTTTGTAACGTGCAGGTTATTTGCGGCGCTTCAAAGCGCGAATCTCACTACAGTTGTACAGTATGAATGGCAGGGTAGGGAATGAAATATAATGATTTAATTTTGAAAATAGTTGATTGTGTTTGGCTTGAGTGCGATTTTTCGTTTTAAATATAATAATTAAAATTGATGTAGTATAAATAAAAATATGAAAAAATGTAAAAATGAAAAATTAAGGGGGGTGTATTTAATTGAGATTTATAAAGATTTTTAAAAACTTTTTAGGACTTTAGAAATCCTGATGTATTTAATTTAGATTTCTCAAGACTTTTAAAAGTCTTGAGGTATTCAATTAGGATTTTAAAAAGTCTTACGAAATCCAAGTGTATTTAACTAATTTAAAATTAGGATTTATAAGGACTTTTTAAGATTTGCTGGGATTTCTAAAGAAAAAAACATGTAGGAAATCCCACTACAAATCCCACCAGACTTGGTATTTTATAGGATTTTTTTAAAATCTGAAAATCCTCAAAAATCTTAAATCTTAAATGTGACTCGAATTCCGAAACGAATAAACTAAAAATGTGACATGAGAAAAATGGTCTATCAATCATAATAGGATATTTTAAGGCCTAGAAATATCCTATATTGTTTCTTTTCCATCCTCCGGCGGTCGGGCAGCAAATCGATCGTCCTTTTCCCATTCTTCAGGGTCTCTGTACCAGAGTTCACGCCAATATAAAACGGCCTCAAGCAGCAGCAACTCCTATCGCCTCCGCCATGCCGCATATCCTCACACATCCGCCCGGCGTCCCTCCTTCCTTCCCACACGTTACGCCGCCGGGATCAATTGTCCGCTTTAATTTTCTACTGATCAGGCAAGATCAAGGTTTTAGTGTCTAATTTGAAGTTAACTGTTTGGATTCACATTCACAGGTGTAGGAAGGAAGCCTTTATAATAATTGGTTGAATAGGTTAAATAAAGTACCTCAATTTAACGCCTCCTCAGTCCTCAATTAGCTGGAGAGCTTATAGAAGAACTGAAACTGGGAGGGGTTTAATTGCTTTCTGGGTTTATTTTGTTTTGCTTTGCTTTGCTTTGTTGATGATGTTTATCTTGTCTGAACCTAAGGTTGAAAGGAGTTCATTTTTTCCCTTGACAGGGTCGGGTAATTTTGGTATTATCGGGTAATGGGTACCCGACCATACATAAACGGGTTACTTGACAGGTTCCCGATTGTTGTAAATCAAGTGATGGGTTGGATTCTGGTAGGACGGAGCATGTTCAAGTTGGGTATGTATTTGCCTAATATGGCTGACCTTGCAATATTAACAAGGACATAATTTTACCGTCATGTTGTTCTTGTAGCCGAAAACAATTAAAGTGGCTCGATCACTATCGAGTCCTCTTGACATCGAATAATTTTCTGATAATAGTTATCTAGCTATTCTGCTGCTTTTGTATCTTAATATTTTGGATTTAGTTTGTTGATCACCTTACATCTATCCATTTCTTGTTATCCACAGAACTGGTGTTATTATTCCACAGAAGGTTTTCTTTGCTCGAGCTAAGCATTGTAAGATACTAAGAATACCTATATTTATGTGACTTCGAGTTGCGCTCATATTCATTTTTTGTTCCCCCATGGGAATCCCTTCTTCACAAACTAATGCAGCCTATTTCCTTTCCATGTGGACAGCTGGAATTGATGGAACATTTAACCAACGGCTGGTGCCTCCGATCTTGATGGCAGCGGAAAAGGAAGAAGCCAAGGCTGTGCTTACATTATTCCTGAAGAAACAAGGCTTGAGCAATATAGTTGCGGCAAGAACTATCAACAAGTCGGATGCTTTTGTTGATCACCTTGTGTCACGGCTTCACTCTGTTCATAGGTCTCGGTACTTAGTAGGTTTGAGTTCTCTTTCTCTGATCTATTAAGGGTGTGATTATGAAAAGATTTTGCTCTTTGAGAAAATAATTCTCTTTCTCTGATCTATTAAGGGTGTGATTACGAAAAGATTTTGCTCCTTGAGAAAATAATATTGAGAGGGTTCACAAATTTAAGTGGAAAATGCTTCTCCATTTTCAGTTTAAAACACGTATACATGTTTCGATTTGATAGAGAAAAGCACTATTCTTTTCAATGTTTGCATAAACTTCCTTATTGTTGCATTACGGAGAAGTAGTTGGGATCAGAGGTTGGTAGTATTTGCAAAATAGAAGTTTAAGTTGACTTAGTTAACTGAGAGTACCTGGTTTTATTCATATATAAATGTTTAAGAGTTGAATCAGAAGCATAACTCGCTATCTAAAGTACACATCCTCTTACCATAGTTTTTTCGTGCTTCAGATTATTCAGAATCACATAATCTTGATTTATAACTATCTCTATATTATCTCGTATTTAATATGAATTTTGATTTTTGTCCACACATTTCCTAAGAAGCTCTCAATGCAATTACCTTCTAACACTAAATATATTCTACATATATAGGCCGGGAGCTCACAACCCTCGAGATCCGAGAGGCCCTCATCCCATACCTTGAATCACTCCACGATGAGCACCAAGCCACCCTGGTAGACGTCGTGGAGAATTTCCCCGACCCACCAATCAAGGAAAAACACGAAGAGATAGTTCACAAACAACCCATTCCAGAAATCCTGGGCTCGTCATCCCCTTCCACCCAAACACCCAACTCCTTAAGGCTCAAAGCTTTGGCCCGTGTTACCGACATTGGGAAACTTCCATCTCACGTCAACTACCTCCTAGAGCTCGGCATGGAACTGGAAGCCATTACGGAAATTATACGGAAATTCCCAGCCTTTGCCTACTACAGCCTGGACGGCAAAATAAAGCCCGTGGTTGAGTTCCTTCTCGACCTGGGCATTCCCAAGCAAGACATACCCACTATCCTAACCAAAAGGCCGCAACTTTGCGGGATTAGCCTCACCGAGAATCTCATTCCCACAATGGGCTTTCTCGAGGAGCTAGGCGTGGACAAGCGGCAGTGGGCCAAGGTGATATGCCGTTTCCCACCGCTTCTCACTTACAGCCGTCAAAAATTGAGATCGACCGTAGATTTTCTCTACGAGATGGGCCTCTCGTCCGAGAACGTGAGCAAGGTCCTGACCCGGTCCCCAAGCATCATAAGCTACAGCGTGGAGGATAAGCTGAGGCCCACGGCCGAGTATTTCCAGTCTTTGGACGTGGACGTGGCTGTGCTACTCCGCAAGTCGCCCCAGACATTTGGGCTTAGTATGGAGGGTCATTTGGTGCCAGTCACGAATTTTTTCCTGGAGAGGGGTTACAGTCTGGGTGATTTGGCCACTATGACGTCGAGGTATGGGGTGCTGTACTCGTTTAGCTTGGCCGATAACCTAATGCCGAAATGGGAGTTTTTTCAGACCATGGATTACCCCAAGTCGGAGCTAGTTAAGTTCCCACAGTATTTCGGGTATAGCTTGGTAGATAGGATCAAACCTAGGTATGAGATGTTGAGGCAGTCTGGGGTTAAGGTGCTGCTTAATCAGATGTTATCGCTCAAGGTGATCGACTTCCAAAAGCTTTTGAAGAGAAAGATGCAGAAGGAAGTTAATGAGTAGCTTGTGAGTGTAAATATTTGCAGATGTGGTATGTGTATTCTGAAACCTTAAACTTTGGGTGCTTCTAACGTCTAATGTCCATACGATAATCGGTTGTCGGATGTCGGATGTTTTTTCTAAGTGTTGGATAGTCCGGCAAAAAAAGTTTCTTGAAGCGGAATATGTTTTTTGCTGCAGAACAAGCCGATTATGCATGGACTGTAATATAACAATTAAAATAAAATATATTTTGCATTATATTTGTACTTTATTATAATTTAATAATAATAAAAGTATATTTTTTGAGCTTTATAAAATTTTATGATTCACAATTATTATTATTTTTTATAATTTATAAAAGTATACGTTTTGATTTTTCTTTGAGCAATTTAATAGATTTAACAAATGACCCCTTTATTTATTTATTTCTTTTTTTTTTTTTTCATGTAACTATAGAAATTTACGCCACACCAAAATTGAACAAAGTTCCATATACATCGGGCAAAACCTGAATAAAACTGCACTAGAGGCCTAGACAAACAACAAAAAGTTAATATTATCTCCGGTGGAATGTCAATTGGAAAATCTAATGGCACAGTTTTGTTATGAAGTCAATCTTAATAGTGGAGCAAATATTCTATATACAACAAGTAAATTATACTATATGTTTTAATTATTTAAATAAATATTAATAATTTTATGGTATGATTTACTTGTTATATATAGAAGGTTGAATCCACTATGGAGCCAACTGTTGACTTTGTAGCAAAATTGTTTAGAGGTATTGAAACACAAAAAACTTGTCCAGTGGTGTCTTTTAATTCTACTTGTGATGAGGTGGCATGAGAGACTCAAAAAAATTAGAGGTCTTCATTTTTAATTAAAATCTATAATAATTAGGTAAAAAAAAGCCGTGTCATAATAAAGGATACCCTTACAAAAAGTACCGATACAAAATACCTGATAAGTTTCAGTTGTGTGATGGTTGTATAACTTCAAAAAATATCGATGTTATACAGTTTGAATGATCCGGTACAAAATAATTTATAGTATTTTGGTCCACATAAGTTTTTTTGGTCTTTTTAGAACAACAACAGAGAAAACATATTTTTTTGGTTTTTTTAGAACGTGGACGATCTATTTAATTGTCATATTTACTTCAACCATTGGAGATGCTTTAAGTAGCCATAGGCAACTAGAAAGAACTGAAAACCTGCAGCTACAACCAAAGCCAACTAATACACAGACCAAAACAGAAGAATAAAAGTACTAAGAGCATGCTTAAATACAAGATTTTTTTTTAAAAAAAATAATAATAATTATTTTTAGCCAATCATTTTTTCTGAACTCAAATCTAATTCAACTTTAACACAATCTCACTATCCTCAATATTATGAAGGTAAATGCATCAGGAAGAGTGATTTGTGCAGTTTATTCTTGAGATTTGCACTGAATAACGCAATGCTTAGAGAATATTTCTAATTGAAATGTAATGTGTGTCGTAAATGACTATTTGTAGGTTGTGTACAGTGCCGAAGCAGCAATGCAGATTGCCAAAACTGCCAGTGACTTGTATATTGAAATCCATCCATTTAAGGTAGCAGTGGTCGTAATTAGTTGTTCGTATTCTCTGTGCAGCGTGTTAACATTTTTATCATGTAAAAAACTCAGGGGAAACATGGTGATTCTTCTTCACTTTCATCATTGGCAAATGTTGTTGATCCTAGCTCCCCAACAAAGCATAGTAATTCAAATATATCAGGACTCGCCACAGACCATGAAGTGAGTATGATAAAATCCTTATCGTTGTTAATCATTCTCAATAGAAACCTACTAGATTCTTAAGAATTCAGTGTGTGTGTGTGTGTTCTTATTGCTTCCGGTATATGTCAAGAACAGTAATATCTATCACAACAAAGCTCATCGCTTCCATCCGAAATGCATCTTTGAATATCGAACGAGACAGTCAAATGTGTACGCACCCAATGGACTCAGAGTCCATGAACCAAATACCCGATCTTGCATAATAGTAAGAAAAGCAGTTACTGAAGAGGACAAGTTCCGACCATGTGTACAACATCTAAAGAGGCTAGAAACAATGTTGGAAGAGCTCAACAACAAACCTGCTGAAATTCCACTTGACAAGGACCAATTTCTTCAGCAGTCAGATAGATAGGATAAAGTCTATTGAGTTTGACCTCGAGAAGACAAAGAGGGTATAACTAATTTATCATCCTTGCTCGTCTCTTTTATAGCTGGTCTGTCTCGTCTATAGACCATAACTACAATTTATTTATAAGATTTTTGTTTTTTTTTTCAGGTATTGCACGATACAACGGTAAAGCAGCTTCAGATTGCCGAGTTACTAGAAAATATGCTCGAGTCCAAATTTCAGGCGAGTCATTTGGCCAGTTGGGTTATTTTGGATGGTTTCGATAAAAGTGTTATGTATTTTTATGTTATGTTTGGCTAAATCATTAGCTAATGTCACACAGAATCTCTTTACTACGCAGAGACAAAGGTTTTTCTGTTCAAGTATGGGATTGTTTTAGACTCAGAAACAACAAAAGGTCAAATGCTTGATAACAGGATTAACCTTCAAATGCAGCTCTGTTTTAGAGGTTTTGTATTAGAGGACAACCGCCTTATAACAACTAACCTCATTTTTTGAAGTTGTCATATTTCAACGCACAGTTGTCTTTCAAATATGGCATACTGTTCCAGCTTATTTGACCTTTCCCAAGTTCCCAACAAGAACACATTATGCCATTATGTATATATTGTTATAAAATGCAAGGAAGATAAAGAACACAATGTAAAAACCGGATACAAATTATAAGAAGCTTTTTTTCTTCACTTCTTTAGTCCAAACATCACAATGTTTTTGGCCCCTTTTATAGGTAAAGGGGCACACATTCCAATACATATTTCACATATAATAATGTAGATGATAAGTAGTGGTAAATTCCACTTTTACATAACACTCCCCCTTGGAATTACCACTATTAAATGTGCGTTTATGCTGCCTCGTTAAAAACTTTATCTGGAAAAACTCTGTGGGAAAAAACCGAGATAAGGAAAAAAGAGTACAACCGCACATACTCCCCCTCGAGTTATCATCTGTGCAAGTCCCGAAGATGTCTCATTCCAATGTTGTGGACGTGTTTTCGAAATATTGTCGTCGGAAGTGCCTTCGTAAATAAATCTGCTGCGTTATCGCTTGATCGAACGTATTGAACTTTAATTTGTTTGTTCCTTTCAAGCTCTTGAGCATATGAGAAGAATTTTGGCGGGATATGTTTAGTTCTGTCATTCTTGATGTATCCTTCTTTGGTTTGAGCGACACATGCTGCATTGTCTTCGAATATCACCGTCGGGTCATTATTATTCGATAGTCCACTGGCTTGCTGAATATGTTGAGTCATGTTTCTGAGCTAGATACTTTCCCTAGTTGCTTCATGAAGTGCAATGATCTCAGCATGGTTTGAAGACGTCGCAACTAATGTTTGTTTCTGGGAGCGCCAAGAAAATGCAGTTCCACCAATCGTGAAAACATAGCCGGTTTAAGATCTTGCTTTATGGGGGTCTGATAGATATCCTGCATCTGCAAAACCGATTATTTCATGTTTTTTATCATTAGAGTAAAACAATCCCAAGTCGATTGTCCCTTGGAGATAACGAAATATATGCTTGATTCCATTTCAATGTCTCCTCGTAGGTGCCGAGTTATATCTTGCTAATAAATTGGTAGCGAAAGATATATCTGGTCTGGTGCAATTAGCAAGATATATAAGGGCTCATATTGCACTCATATATGTTATTGCAGGACCAAGTACTTCTTCATCTTCTTCACAAGGTCGAAATGGATCATTTTCAACATCTAATGTTCGATTGACCATTGGGGTACTAAGTGGATTAGCCTTGTCCATATTGAATAGTTTCAATATTCTTTTAGTGTAATTAGATTGATGGACAAATATCCCATTTTGGACTCGTTCTATTTACAAGCCGAGACAATATTTGGTTTGTCCGAGATCTTTCATTTGAAACTCGCCTTTCAGTAAAGTGATTGCTTCTTGGATTTTATTTGTGGTCCCAATAACATTAAGATCATCGACATAGACAGCAATTATCACAACTCCATCTCGTGATATTTTTATAAAAACACACGGGCATATTTGATTATTTATGTATCCCCGTTTTAGTAATTGTTCACTCAAACAATTATACCACATACGTCCGGATTCAATCCATACAATGATCTTTGCAATTTTATCGCACATAACTCTTTAGGTTTGGACTTTAGTGCTTCGTGTATTCTAATCCCTTCTGGAATTTTCATATAAATGTCAGCGTCTAGCAATCCATATAAGTAAGCAGTCACAACATCCATGAGACGCATCTCAAGATTTTCATGGATGGCTAAACTAATCAAGTATCTGAAAGTAATTGCATCCATAATAGGGGAATATGTTTCATCATAATCGATCCCAGACCTCTGGGAGAATCCCTGTGCTACAAGACGAGCTTTATATCTTGTGATCTCATTTTTCTCATTTCTTTTTCTGACAAAAACCCATCTGTACCCAATAGGTTTTATGTCTTTGGGTATAATGGTAATAGGTCCAAAAACCTTTCGTTTATTAAGTGAATCTAACTCGGCTTGAATAGCGCCTTTCCACTTGTCCCAATCATGTCTTTTCTGACATTCAATCATAGATTTTGGTTCAGGATCCTCAACTTCTTTGTCAATTTCTTGTGATACCATATATGCGAATGCATCATTAATGATCTCATCACGCTTCCAATGTTTTCCATTATTTACGTAATTGATAGAAATTTCAATATTTTCATTTTGTCCCGAAACTTTTCCATCATCTTGATTCTTTTTCAAATTCGAATCTTGAACTTCTCTTTTCTTTCGAGGATTCTTATCTTTAGACCCCACTAGTCTTCCTCGTTTCAAGCGTGTCTTTAATTCATTTGGCATATCGTCATTTGCCATTTCTTGTGGAATCTCA